ATAGTGAGACCCCCGTCTCTACAAAAAAACAAAATAATTAGCTGGGTGTGGTGGTACACACCTGTAGTCTCAGCTGCTGGGGTGGCTGAGGAGGATCACTTGAGCCTGGGAGGTGTAGGTTGGGTTTCACATGTTGGTTCGCAGCTGGTCTCACAATCTCCTTTGACCCTGGTGACACCCACCTCGGCCTCCCAACGGATTACAGTCGTGAGCCAACCGCACCGGCCCCATCTCTACATTAGATCTTTCGAATTCACTCAATCTCCAATTCAGAAAAATCCGCAGGAATTTTGTGTTTTAGAAATTGATAAGGTGATTCTAAGTGTCCCAAGCAGGGAAATGAAAGGACCTAGAAATCGCCTGGGCCCAACTGCCACTTCCAGCCTAGGCAACACAGGAGGCCAAACTCTATCTCAAAACAGTAAATAAAAAAAGTAAAATTAAATATTTCGCTGAAAGAGAGTTAATAACATTAGAAGGATTATTATGACTTTAGACCTTTTAAAGACTGTACAGGGCCGGCGCATGGTGGGCTCACGCCTGTAACCCAGGGCACTTTGGAGGCCGAGGGGCTAGTGATCACTGTAGGCCAGGGAGTTCAAGACCACACTGACCACGGGTCGAAAAACCCTGTCACACAAATAAATTACAAAAAAAATGATGCCAGGACCCAAGTGTGGCAGCGTGGCCTGTATAATTCCCAGCTACTTGGTGGAGGCTGAGGCATGAGAATCACTCCAAACCCCAGAGCGCTTTGCAGGTGAGCGCAAGATTGTCTACTGCACTCCAGCCTGGCAAGAGGAGACGTCCTCTATCTCAAAAAAAAAATAAATACAATAAGGTTAACTGGAGCAACGTTTTTTTTTTTTTTTTTTTTTTTGATACAGAGTCTCGGCTCTTGCTAGCCCGGCTGGAGTGCAAGTGGCCGGCTCTCAGCTCATGCTAAGCTCCGCCTCCCGGGTTGACCCATTTCTCTGCCTCAGCCTCCCAAGTGAACTGGGACTACAGGCGCG